AGCTTGTTTTGCTAACTTATCTCTTATCAAAGCATCGATAGAGAAAAACAGCTTCTAGTTTCTGGTGTGGTTACATTCTTAGGAAGTTTAAGGGAAAAAAAAACCATACCGCACAAAAATTCTTAGCCGGGTTAATGAGGTGATTTACAAAACAGTTTAAAAGAGCTTGCCAGGAATTTCGGGATGCTGGAAGTCCATGCTACGGGTAGTTTGTCGTGCTGAGACACAAATTCAAAAGGAGTATGGTGGGGCTCGTGACAGGAGTGTGCCACCTGGCGAGCGTCCCTCTCCACACAGAGGGTCCACACCGTAAGGTGCCTCTCTCCCCTGCTTTGTCCTGCCTTTTCCTGGGAAAACCATGCAGTAATGTGTATTTGTTAATAAAGGGATTCATAGGTCTGAGCCATAGGTCCTTTAATCATAAGCACAGATGGCATTTATGTCCCGCTTACTGGACTGATACTGTCCTGAGCACTTCACCCAGGGGAACTAGTGGCGTGGTTAACAAACAGCCCGGCCCCTGGAGCCACACGTCCCCATCAGAGGCCCCTCCAGCCCTAACTCTGCTGGCCGTGTAGCTCCTTACTCTGCTATGCTGCGGTTTCTGCACCTGTAAAATGAACATCAGAACACCACCTGCCTTGTGGGATTCCTGTAAGGGTTAAATCAGCCACACACACGGGTCCTTAGGACAGTGCCTGCCACAGAAAAAAGGGCTACTCAGGTGTGGCTTTTAGGATCGTAAGTGTGAAGGGTTTATATTGACCTGTCACTCTTTGAAAGCTTCAGATAAACTTCAGTTAGTGGCCTAGGATTGAGAATGGGGTCCCAGTAGGGCAGTGGGAGGAGAGAAGGGAGAGCTCAAGGAGAGGGGGGCAGGTAGCCCCTTTGTCTTGCACCGTCTCCCCAGTCCGTCTGTTCTACTCTCCTTGCTCCCACCTGCTAATGTGGACTAGCAGAAGAATACAGAAAATCGAAGAAAAGAGATGTTAAAAATGGGATAAGACTACTAAATGGGGGGGAGGGGAGAGATATGAATAATGAACGAGAATGTAACACTGCAATATAGAGTTAAAGGCAAGGACTAGCATTTTTAAAGTAGAAAATTAGCATTTTTATACTAGAAAATTGAGATAAAAGCAGATCATGAAAAATAAAATTAGGGAAAGGGGAGGAGTTTAGATACTTAAATGAAGTGAGATGTTTTATAAAAATTAAAGGAATGATAAACTAAAATCCAAAAATACATGGACAATGGACTAGTGTTTACCAGAGGGTATGGGGGAGGGAGGAGGTAGACGGGGGGCGGAAATTTTTAAAAATCATTTCTTCAATTAAAAAAAAATTTAAAAAAATTTAAAAAATCCAAAAGTAATAAATGAAAAAGGAGAGAGAAAGTGGCCGGCCTTGACTGTGCTCTTTGTAAGCACCGGTAATTAAGATACTTTGTCCATCATTTCAATATCCCTCTCAGCACCCCTGGGACCCAACTGCATTTCATGTGACAGAAAGGAATCTTAGCAAGGTTAAGTCACCTGTTAGAAAGTCACTGAGCTGACTGCAGAGCCTGAACTCTCAACCACCTTGCAATACCAAACGGCTTGGACCTTAATCAAAGACAGGATGGCAAAACCCAAGCAGCTCCCAGGGTTGAAAGCCTTCTATCGCTGAGAGCCTTGAGACAGGTTCCTCAGGTTTCAAGAGGAGTGTCTGTGGGGGGAGAGCAGGGGATGCAACAACCAAAGACCCCCTACCCCTGGCCTCTGAAAGCCAGTCACAAACCACGTGCGTGGCTGGAGGTGGGACACATGTACTGAATCAACATTGGACTGAGCAGCTGGGCCAGTCCGGCCCCAGGGCCAGATAGGGAATGTAAACAAGTCACACAGCCAGGTATGAGAAACGCCACAGCTTAAGCTTAAGGATCAGTGGCAGCTACACTCAGGGTTAAAGAGGCAATAGGGAGTAGTGAGGACTGGGGAAAATTGACAAGCACTTGCCTCATCAAAGGAATAACTGCTACACCTGAAGTTGCATGAAGACCTGTGGGATTCACTATTACCATTCTTCTACATTTTCAAGAGAATTTGTAAATTGAGAATTGCATGAGAGATCTTCTGATTTTGAAATATCGGCAACTTATTAAAAAATTTAAAACATGTATCTGCCGACACTATGCAAGCCAGATATACCAATTTCTGTCCCCCGGGGAGCCTCGTGGGATCATGTCATCTGCCGTGGGCATTTGGATTGCTTCCACCTTTTAGCTTGTATAGCTTTTCTTTCGGTGAGGGGAAGCTTTGGCTCTGAAAGGAGAGAGAAATAAATCAGATTCAGTCGCTAGGATTACTGACACAAAGGTGGGTGTGGGCAGGACCATTAATGGGTTAAAAATATATATGAGACAGAATCTACCCAGTAGCAAATTCAAGGAGGAGATGGTGTAATTTGGCAAAATGTTTTTGTTTCTGATGACCCCACCATACACATTATTGGGGTCCTGCTGCCTACGTTGGAAGTATTTCATAGGTCCTAACACTTCTATCAGTTATCTTTCTCTAAAGCTTTGCTAACTCTTGCTTTGTATGCGAACATTGAGCTTATGCGCAGTTAATCTCTGTTGTATTGTATTTTGTCTCTGAAAAGACTGGGACAGAAAAGAAGACTGTCATTTTGTCGTTGTTGAGGATTTCCCGTGCCTGGGCTCATCGCATGGCAGGGGTACCCAATACATCCATCCAGAGAACCGCTCATAACGACATGGGGTATCTACTGCTCAGTCTTTGCAGTCCGCACCTAGATTTATTCTACGTTCAGCACCTCACCTTTTCATCTATTATCGTCCTATGACACTTTTGGTGACTGTGGATTAGAGGTTCCCAGTCGGGAATGCATGGGCAGTCACTCGTGGTGCATTGTAAAAACCCACACGCCCGGGCACTCCCCTGAGAGTTACCAAATCAGAATCCCTGGTGCCAGGGCCCTGGAATGAGCATTCTTAGTTTTATTTTGTTTTTAAGGTGTTTTCAAATCAAATTGAACTGGTAACATTCTGAGCTAATTCTCAACATATTAAAGGAAATTTTAATTTTTTTTCTTTTTTCATGGATATGGCAATGGATTAACTTTGTAAATTCATTCTTGATAGGTTTGTAAATGATCAAGATAGATTTTGAATGCACAAAATAACGTTTCCAAAGTTCTGGAGACATGTTTCGTCATATACCATGTACATTTTATATCTATCTATACCTATCTATATACATATATATATTCTTCTTCATTCATTCAGCAAATATCGATTGAGTACCCGCTTATGTGCTAGGCACTGGTCTCAAGAGTTGAGGGGACGGGTCCCTATCATGTCTGTTATCTTGTAGCGCTTCTGTTCTAACTTCTGTTCTTCCCATTTGGATTTCTGGTCTAGAGATGACAATAGGAATCTCATGGTTTACATACTATTCTAGCGCTTCACATATTTTGATTTATTTAATCTACCCAACAATCTTAGGAAGCAGAGACTGTCATAATCCCCATTTTACAGATGAGGAAGCCGCCGTGGAGAGTTGCAGTACTTTGCCCAAGCCACACGCACGTCCATTAAATGGTGTAGGGGAATTCAAAGCCAGGCAGTCTGGCTCCAGAGCCACACTATACCTCCCCGCTCGCTCTGCCTTTCACCTGAGAGATCGCAGCAAACACAAAGCTGGCCGTAGGCCGGGCAGCAGGCATAGGCCATGCACTTTCAAAGTTCACATTATATCCTGCTAGGATGACTTGAAGATGTCATTCCTTATATCCTAATTTGTAGATTATTGCCATTTTCCTCACCATCTCTGATAATACTGGCGGGCTTTATTTCTAGATTTGCTAAGTCATCTGTTGTAATGAAGGAAGAAGAGAAGAGATTTTGGACTATAGGAGGAAAAGACCAATCACAAAGTCAGAGGTCATAAAGGGGTCAGAATCCTCTCAAAGTTAGGTCTAGATCTTTCCACTGCTTTTCATTCTAACTTCCTAAAGATATATGCTTCCATTTTTTTCAACTGGGAATTTATCTGCCTTTTTTTTTCTTTCATTTTTCCTTTAATTTTTATGAACTAATATTTTGAGTACCAAGATTCTGTCTTGAATAACCCTCCTCTGGGCGGCATGTTGGCGTTCTCTCAAAGGAGCTCCCTACCCTGACTATTCCTGTTTTTTTTTTTTCCTAAAACGCATACCCTAAATACTGCCATTAACATCACCCCTGGGGAGCTCAGTCTATATGGACAGAACCGCAAATAGAAGTTCAGCCATGGTAATTGGTCATACCGAGTCATAAGGAAATACAATCTATTTTCATTTTCTTCATCCAAGTCAAAAGCTCAAACCAGAAACTGACATGTTTGGTCTCTCTTGGTGTAAACATCCTGTTCTGTAGTCTCATGACATCTTCGACAGTCCGACAATCCCCTGCCTGGTGAACTGAGCGCTGCTCCTGTTTCTGTTGGGGTTTGATGATGTGTTCCAGCACTGCTGGCAGGTCTTCTGTCCCCTGGGCTGTTGGCCACTTGGCGCTTGGGCCATCCTGCTTCTCCACCTGCTCCTGTGGGGCCTGTTTCTGAGAGGCATCTGATGACGGATCCCACTTCTATCCACCTGACACTGTGGTCAATTGCCATCCCACTGATCGCCATGCCCATTGCCAAATAAGTCATGCCCAAGATGCTGTCCTGGGCTGCAGCGTGTGTGGCGACATGGGCATGTATAAGAAGCCCCACATGCTACTCAGCCACGTGCTCCTGGTTAAGAATCGTGGTATACTTGAAAACTGCTCCAGGGTTTCAAAGAAGCTGTCACTGTCCTGTATTCTAAGAGAAGAAATCTAGATTCCTATCTGAAGTCTTGTTCATTTTGGGGCCCCTGACAGAGATCAGAGACTTCGCCCACACACATGCTGTGGGTGTAGTTCCAAAGCTGATCATGCCAATATTAATTTCACTCTCGTATCTTTACAGGGAAACTGTATGGTGATGTTCCTTTCGTAGACGAAAGACACAGACATCGGTATGAGGTACGCTTTCCCACTGAGTCACTGTGGACTATAGATGCTTAATGTGAGGAAGCCCAGCGATTACAAGCGGGCCTCTGGGAAAAAAATGGGGGAGATGGACTCCCATGGGCCATGTGGGGGTGGAATAGATACCAGACCGAACAAGCCCAGGGTTTTGTTTTGAGGGAGGACCGGTAAGAATTGATGCTGGGTAGGCCACCAACAGTGTCACTACAATTAGGGAAAATAATTTGCTGAGTGTAGGACATTTTTGGTTGTATTTCCATTGGGAACTGGCCCGTTAGTTTCCGTTGGGACAGAAACTATTGATCTGCTTTGTCTAAGTGGTAGCTAGAAGGTGTAAGAACTATTATGTACACGATAGTTTGGCCATTCATTCCTTCATACTTATTTTGTACCTGATAAACACAGGAGATGAAAGAGGCAAAGACATGTATGCTGTCCTTCCTGTTAGGGAGCTTACATTCTAATCGGAGTGGACAAAAATAAGATAAATCAGAATAATTACAGATTAAATCATGTATCAGACAAAGTACTTGTATCTAGACGATATAAAGAATTCTTACAACCGAATAATAAATAATGGCAAAGGATGTGAAGAGATATTTCTCCAATAAAAGATATGCAAATGGTCAATAAGGAAACAAAAAGTTGCTCAACATCATTTGTCATCAGGGAATCAAAACCTCAAAGAGATACCACTTCACACCCACTAGGATGGCCATAATCAAAAGATGGATAATAACCAGTGTTGATCAGGATGTGCAGTAGTCGGAAGCTCCGACACTGCTGGCGGGAATGTAAAGTGGTGCAGCCACTTTGGAAAATTATCTGGCAGTTCCTCAAAAGTTTAAACACAGAGTGACCATGTGACCCAGTAATTCCATCTCTAGGTATATACCCAAGAGAAGTGAAAATATACGTGCACACAACAACTTGTACGCAAGTAGTCATAGTAGCATTATTTATAATAGCCGAAAAAGTAGAAGTGACCCAAATGCCCATCAACTAATGAATGAAAAAAATAAAATGTGGTGTATCCATATAATGGAATATTATTTGACAATAAAAAGTAAAGAAATATTGGCACATGCAACAATATAAATGAACCTAGAAAACGTTATGCTAAGTGAAAGAAGACAGTCACGAAAGACCACATACTATATGATTCCATTAACGTGAAGTGCTCAGAATAGGCAAAGCTAACAAGATAGAATGTAGACTAGTGATTGCTAGGGCTGAGGTGGGGTTCAGGAAGGGAGTTGGGGGATGATGGTTAGAGGGTACAGGGTGTAGTTTTGGGTTGATTGTGGCGATGGTTGAAATCCTATGTGAATATACTAAAAACAATTGAGTCGTACACTTTCAGTGGGCGAAGTATCTGGTATATGAATTGTGTCTCAATAAAGCTGTTAAAAAAAGGAAAAAACAATTACAAATTATGAGAACTATCCTAATGTTAAAAAAAAAAACCATTTGTAGTTAAGATTGAAAAGGACAGTTGGGACCCCACTTTGATTTTAGGTGAGAAAGTGCTTTCTGTGAAGGAGAGGCTGAAAAGTTTGAGGAAAAGCTAGCAATGAGATGAGTAAGAGAAGGGGCCATGAGCCAGGTCATCAACTTGTCATCTGTAACCCGTATTTTAGTAGAAAACTTGCTCCAAGTTTCTCTGTAGAGCTTTTATGTAACTGTATATAAAGGAAGCACTGGGGTTAGTCACAAGGGAAATAAGATAGTTTCAATTGTCAACCTGATTTGTGATTTGGGGAGAGATAGTTAATTTTACACATAACTCAAGCCAGGAAGCAACTCTGGGGATAGCTATAAATAGCCTCAAGTCCCAAGTCAGAATGTCTGTGTCACAGTCCTACTTTTTGAATTTCATCTTTGGATGAGAGAAGGCGGACCTCCCAGATTTAAGTGTGATTAGACTATTTCTCAGGTTCGTCATGAGTTTAAAAATAGACTTTGGTGGTTGAATATAGAAATGAACTACTAGTTAGAGCAGGGGTCCCCAATCCCTGGGCCGTGGACCAGGACTGGTCCGTGGCCTGTTAGGAACCAGGCTGCCCAACAGGAGGTGAGCGGCAGGCAGGCAACCGAAGCTTCATCTGTATTTGCAGCCGCTCCCCAGCACTGGCATCACCGCCTCAGCTCCACCTCAGATCATCAGGCATTAGATTCTCATAAGAGCACCGGTCCCTGGTGCCCAAAAGGTTGGGGACCGCTGAGTTAGAGCATCACTGAAATGGAAAACCCACCTAATTGATGGAGGACCTTGTAATAAGCTGACATGTTCTGTATTGCTCTGCTACCCAAAGACACTTAATTTCTTGTTTTTCCAGGTGAACCCTAACTTGATCAACCAATTTGAGCAGAGTGACTTAAGTTTTGTAGGTCAGGACGTGGATGGGGAGAGGATGGAAATCATTGAACTGGCAAGTAAGTGGGCTGTTGATTTTCGAAAAATTTTGTGGTGAGCTAACATCTTTTTGTTGGGCATAGACATATGCAGCTATGACTTGAGACCCATTTTGTTTGCTCTCTTTCTTTTCCCCTCCCCTTTGAAATAAATCAACTAAATATATATGTAATACGACTAAATGTAAAGTGCATGAGAGATACAGACCTGTAATCCTAATCATTTGGGCCCATTAGTGTGAACCTACCGTAAAATGATGTATCGTTCCGATCGCACCAGTCCTACCAGCAGTACGCTTCCTTACCATCCCTGCCCGTTTTCTTGCTGCCAGCCTCTTGGTTAGGTGCTCTGGGAAAGGCGGGCAGCTCACTGTTGGGTGGCACTCTGCTTTCTCCCTCGTTGGAGGAAGAATGGCCCAGTGCCCTCCTCACTACTGGTGACTGGGGCTGATGCCTGTCGTGTGCGGGACCTGGCCCCACATGCCACCCGGCATCTGCCTTTCCCTGTTGTTCATTCTCCATGGTCAAGCATAGGTCAGTCTTTAACTTTTGAACACCAGTCGCTGCACTCAGAGAAGTTCTTAGTGAGACCAAACACGAAAGGACTGGGCTTCTGTTGAAGATGATCGCTGAAGTAGTTGTTTATGGCTGAGCTAGGACACCCTCGGGGGCATAGGCACAGACCATACGTGTATTACTGACGAGACAGAAGACAGTGTTCTCATTCAGAGCTGCAAAGACATGGTACACCCACGCTGACTGCTGGCCCCGGCTCTTTCTGTTGACATTCTCACCCAGGGGCTGGCAGACTGTGGCCTGTGGGCCAGATTCAGCCTCCTGACTATTTTTTGGTGGTGGTCTAACAATGGCTTTTACATTTTATATATTTTTAAATGGTTAAAAAACACATTATAGGATTTTTGACATGTGAAAATTATATGACATTTTAGTATCCATAAATAGTTTTATCGGAACACAGTCACATTCATTTGTGTATTGTCGATGGCTGCTTTCATGCTACAGTGACAGTGGTGAGTAGTTGGGGAAAAGACTTTATGGTCTTCAAAGGCTAACGTTATTTCCTATTTGGCCCTTTACAGAAATGTTCGCCAAACCCTGTTCTAGACCCATACATACGCACATCATTTAACCTACTTGAAATGAACGTTTTCAGGTACCTGCTTGACCTGTTTGTCTATCTATCTGGATATTCCAGTGGAACTTATTGGAAACTGAATTTACATGCCCTCCAGACTGTACATTCCCTTGACTACTTCTGTTAAGGCAGCGTCAGCCTCCGTGTCCAGCGTTTCTCATGCGCCCCACCACTGATGTTTAGAGCAGGATAATTCTTTGTGGTGGGTGCTGTCCTGTGCACAGTACGCTGTTTGGCAGCATCCCTGGTCTCTACCCACTGAATGCCAGTAGCATCCCTCCCCCCCAAGTTGAGACACTCTAAGACATCTCCAGACGTTGCCAGAACACATTTGCTCCTCGTTGCGAACCACTGTTCTAGACCCTCGGGCTTGAAATCGAACTTATTTAACTCTTTCCTTCCTTCATACCCCCAGCTTGTAATCAGTTGTCAAGTCCTATAGATTCCATCTCTGGAAAGAAAGACGGTATTTGGGATTGCGTTCCCTTCCATATCACTCTAGATCCAGTACGTGGTGACTTTTAATGAAGACAGGGCTCTGTGCAATGCACATGACACTAATTTGTTGGATAAACCACTCACTTATTGAATGCTTAGTATGTATAGGATACTCTAAAATTGGTAACATGATTTTCTAGAACCGACTTTTTCAACCTGTATACTTTAGGCTCCAGATATCTTGGACTGCTTACTCTTCTTCTAACTTTCCTACTTCATTTTCCATCTTAGCCCTGTCACTATCCTCTGCTTGAAATTCCTTCTCTCTGTCTCTTTTTTATGTCTGAGTAATATTCCATTGTATATTTGTACCACCTCTTCTTTTTTTTTAAAAAAAGAAAAAATTCATTTATTTATTTTAATTAGTTTCAAGTATACAGCACATTGGTTAGACATCTATATAGTTCATAACGACCTCCCCCAATTGCTCCCTCCCTCCCATGGCCCTCCACCTAGCAATGTATTAATGCTAACTGCATTCCTTAGGAAAAGGCTTCTTTAAACGCAGTAGCATATTAACTGACCTTGAAAGATGGAAAGCAATGGACATTGTATGCTCAGTACATGCTTCTCACTAGACCTTTCGCCGGGGGCCCCACTTGCCTTATGGAACTTACAAAGCAGATGATATTATTCTCACCTTACAGAGGAGACTTGAGTGCAAAGAGTTTAAACTCACCCAGGGTCATCCAGCCTGTACCTGGTGGGGCTGGAGCCACATCAGGTCATTGCCTCCTTCTGCCACCACTCTCGTAGGATTTTACTGTTCCTTTGTTTTCACTGGATGTTCCATTTAGGATTAGCAAAACATGCTAAAGTTTTAAATTAAAATATGAGGATTCATTTTGTATAGTCTTCCTCATGGAAGTGCCCTTCATTTAGAATTCGTATAGTGTGGATCACTGGCATTGAAGTCTCTTAAGTCTTTCTGGCATGTGAGAGGGCAGAGAATTTCTTAAGCAGATTTTCCTATCTGTTTACTTGGTTCAGGTACTTATTCTCAGTTAATTCTCTTGGCTCTCATTATTGTCAGCAAATATTAGAAGCCTCTTTCATCACAAGGATTAAGATTCCCATTGACACTTTCAAATTTCGTGTGGGTTGGAAAGAAAATGAGAGCCACTGTAAAACCTTGCAATTTTTAAAAGCTGACTGCAAGGGAATTCATTTTCTTAAGGAAAATTCTGCAGGAGATTTGGACCTTTGCTACCCCTTAGAAGCATGTCCACCAGTCTCTACATTCCTAAAGGAATTCTAAAAGGAACGATAAAACTTGGGATTAGTACAATGTCAGAATTTGGTTCAAAGCAATTAAGAGCATTATTTAACAGATATTTTAGTGGTTACCAGAGGAGAAGGGAGAGGGGAGGAGGGAGGAGGGAATGGGGAGTAGACAGGGGAAAAAAAAGAAAAAGTTAAATCATATCTTCAATTTAAGTAATTAATTAATTTAAAAAAGATACTTCATTTGACTGATAGAATATCATCAAAATAAAAACTTTATAGTTTCTTTTATCATATTGGCCCAGGGGATTTTTTTTGGATAAAGTGATTTAGAGCAATGATCCATTCATTCAAATATTCTGTCCCTGGCCATGCCATGATCCATTGCTCAGCTTCTGTCTGTAGTGCTACAAAAACATAACTGTCCGCTTCTTTCAAAGACATCCCTAGATGCTGTGCTGTAAGAGTCATTGCATCTTAAATTTAAAGCTACATTGCTTAGTTTTTTTCCCAAGTGTGGGTGGTTTCTCTTCTACTTTTCTTGAGCAGACTCATTCCTGAGAGAAGTTGGCATTCCCATCACCTAGCTTTCATTCTTGAGTGTCCATCTAATTCAAGGAGGTTTCTTCCTAGATGTAATATAGAGCGGATTGGTACTGGTCTGTAGCCAGTTAGGAACCGGGCCGCACAGCAGGAGGTGAGCGGCAGGTGAGCAAGCAAAGCTTCATCTGTATTTGCAGCCGCTCCCCAGCTCTCCATCTCTGCCTCAGCTCCACCTCAGATCATCAGGCCTTAGATTCTCATAGGAGCACCGGTCCCTGGGGCCAAAAATGTTGGAGACCACTGATGTAGAGGATTTCTGCCTGGATTTTTCTGGACTCAGAGCTTTGCAATAGAACTTGCTACAATGATGGAATATTCTGTTCTGTTCAATATGGTAGTCACTAACCATTTATAGCTACTGGGTACTTGAAACATGCTCAGTTAATTTGAATGAATTTAAATAGACACATGTGGCTAGGGGCTACAATTTTGTAGAGCAAAGCTTTAGACGAAAACCTTAGAAGAGTGGACACTTCCAGCTAATCATCATGTCCTCACTATTGTACAGTAGCTTTAGGTCTCTAGTATGAAGTGATGGGGATTTGTGATTTTGAATTGCATACTAAATTTTCAAATTGTTTGATAAAGCATCTCCTTGAAAACTTTAAAGTTATTTACTCCCCCATATAAAACATATATTTTATCATCTTCGATTTGCTATATATACGAATTTAAATGATTTTTAAAGTAGGGAATACAGCATACTGATCATGGTCTCTGTACTATAGTAATTATGGGATTAGAGAGCTGCCCAATCTCTAATTAGGAGTTGCTTGCAAACCTGGGAAAAAAACATAGTTTTTGAGAGTTCCAAAAGGGGGAGGAATTTTTAATCTTAGAAAATTTCTACCCAGATTTGGAAATGTTGCCTCTTTAATTCTTGCCATCATGAAACAAGGGATTCCTGTTAAAAGTAGCTGGGAAAAGCTACTTTTCTCTTTTTATTACATCTAGTAGAACTTGAATTGCTCATATAGGGGCTTCTTAAACCCTGAGTATGAAAATAACTTAATTCTCCCCCCTCCCAATAATATAAGCAATATTTGCTCATTGTAAAGGTTCACATGATATAGAAAAGTATAAGGAAGAAAAATTTTTTTAAAAAACCCTTGAACTCTTGCCAGCTTGAGCTATAACCACCCTTAACATATTGAAAGGCCATCCTTTTATCATTCAGAGACCCTTCGTCACAAGGGTTAAGTTGCCATAGGCTGAAATATGAGTTCAGTTTCGTGGTGCTAACTACGATTAATGCCCAACTTAAAGTTGTGACTAGGAAAACATTTGCACTTGCTGCATTCCCAGAGGACCCTTACCATGGGAAAGGAGACCTTGTAGGAAGTGGACTGAAGCCATCTAAGAAAGAATGACCTACAGTTAGCTGAAAGTGTGAGGGATGCCATGGAAATGGAGCCAATGTAAGTATGAAAGGCCTTCAAAACACAGGCAGATTTTAGGAAAGTAGACTTCATCTTGCCATTCAGAAATTTTTGCTTTGTTCACTCTGATACCTCCCACAAATAAAATGTTGGATCTCTTATTAAGTGAGATGTGTTTTGCAAATTGAAATTTTGCTGTGAAGATCGATTGTGAAAGTAACTGGCTCTGATGATAAGTTAAATAATCATCTCACCATTAAATGAGTGTCTGATTCAAAGATGAGACCTTTGAAGTATTTCTCGTGTTTGTTTCAATTGCATCATGGTTGTTCTCATTTCAGATCACCCTTATTTTGTTGGTGTCCAATTCCATCCTGAGTTTTCTTCTAGGCCGATGAAGCCTTCCCCTCCATACCTGGGGCTGTTACTTGCAGCAACTGGGAACCTGAATGCCTACCTGCAACAGGGATGCAAGCTGTCCTCCAGGTAAGCAGCTTACTGCTCTTAGCGATGACCCAAGATGCGGTCGTGAGCATCTTAGGTTTCTCATAAAATTTAATATCATTGTAGGATTTTTTTTTTTAAGTGAAGAATGACTTTTTTTCCTTCTTAACGATTGTGACTTTTGCTCTTAATAAAAATGATTTAATCACATATACAACAGTAATGTGTCAGTTGTCCAAATTATGCTAACGCTGGGCATTATTTTAGAAATTTTCATCATTTCGATAAGTGAAAATAGGATTTCCTTTTGTGGACTCTTTGATTAATAAGTATATATAGATATTTTGTATGTTTACTGGCTCTTTGTTTTATGAATAGCCTGTTCATGTACTTTGCCCTGTTTTTCCTTTTGCTAGCATATCTTTTTTCTTAATGGTCGATAAGCCCCTTAAAGGTCATGAATCATTTGTTAGGTTGCAAATATTTTTTCAGAGTGATTCTGTTTTCTCCTAAGTTGTCAGTGGTTTTTATTTTCCTTAAAGAGTTTTAAATAAGGACTTTAATAGTTTAAATAGTTCTTATTTACGTATAGTTTTAAATTTATGTAGTCAAATCTTTTACTTTTATGGATTCTGCCTTTAGTGTCATGTATAAAGTCTTTCTTTATCAAAAGGTTATATAAATAATAACCCATTTGTTTTCCACTAGCACTTTTATGCTTTCAATTTTATACAGTAGTTTAAATCTGTAATCTATATGAACTTTATTTTTGGTATAGTGTGTGAGGTAGGGATCTCGCTCCCTCCCGCTGCCAATTGTTAGTAAGTTGAGTAATTTAGGTTTGTTTCAAGGTTTTCTGTTTTGTTCCATTGATGATTTCATCTCCTCTTTCGGAACCCTTATAACCATTTTCATTATCATAGTGTTACTGTAAATCCAGCCTTTATCTACCCTACTCCTGTTATTAACATTTTTTAAAAAGTTATTTTGCTGCTCTTCCAGATGAATTGTACAACAATTTTTAAAATCTGGCTTGAATAAAAAATCCTTTAAGGATTTTCATTAAAATTTTTTACATTTATATATTAGTTGGTTGAGAATTTGTGTTCTCATCCAAGAATATCTTATGTAATAACTTTAAAAGTGGAAGGAATTAGCCAGAATTATAGACTAGGTATGGGCTAGTACCATTATAACTGGTTATATGTTGTTTAGAAGATTACCATTGCCAACCCTCATCCTAGCAAACAACCCTGGCGAAACTGCAATTGCGAATTGCTGGGATCGGTGCATGGTGTGTATGCGTGTGCTTGTGTTATGCAAGCCTGCTTATTCGTGCCATTACCCGCTCGGGGAAGCTCACAGCTCCCTAGCATTTCTTTTAACTGGATGTTCATATGGGAACAGCTTTCTTATATTTTGCATGCCAGGCATCTTACTGAATTATAATCACTCCTTGCACTCTTGAACCAGTGCACTGGTTTGCACGCTGTGCCCTGTGGAGCTGGAGTCTGCCTGCTGTGAGGAGCAGGCTGAGGGGCTCCAGGCTCTTCCCCGCTTCAGCCGAGCAGCTCCACTTTATCTGGCTCATGCAGCGGGGTTCTGCATAAGACTTCGTACAAAGGTGACATTCCTGTGTTCTGAGACTGCGTGGCTTACGCAGCAGATGGGAAATTCCCATGGTTTCTCGTGTTGGATGTGTGCTGTGAGCCACTTTATTGTCTCCGTTATTTCAGGTGCTCACACGGGACAGGAAGGTGACAGTGGAGCAAGTTAGATGGCTAAAAGAAATAACTCACAGTTACTACTTTGTGCGTAATTGTCTGGTTGTTCGCAAGCATCAACTAATATATGGATTGCCTGCTGATTCTTGCATGGGGGCTGGTGGTTTTAGAAAATAGTGACTGCTTGCTAGTGACTCCTGAGCAAGACACAGTATATCTCGGAGAGAAGAAAAGACCTCTTAACGAAACTCTGAGCTGGAATTATAACTGACCAGCAGGCTTCCACGGTTGTCAGAGAATTCCTGTGTATCAGCCACACACTGGTGCCTTCCTTAAGAGCTGCCAGCATCTTATTTATCTTTGTTTCCCTGGCTCCCTAGCACATGTGGGATTTTTATTGCCCATTAAAGTAATAAATGTACATAGCAGGGGAGGATGAGTATAGTCTAGTCTAGTCTTGACACCTTGCGGGAGTTTTCCAACTAACAATGGTGACCATGAATTAATCCAGTGACAGACACCAGGATTCCAGAGGAACCTTCTACTTCAACTCTACTCTGCCCAGCTTCGTGGCGTTAGTGAGCATTGAAAAGCAAATGATGACTTTGATATCCAGGCTCTAATGTGAGTTGATTTGGGACTGTATTTCTGTCAAAAAAGATTACTGTCTGTAATCAACCCTAAACAAATGTGACAAGAAATATGAACACTAGAATAATGACTTTCTTTCCAAGTAATTGGCTGATGATATTAACTTTGTGGCACTTGTGTAGCCAACATGTTTAAAGCCCAGAATGTAAAAATGCTTGGCTTCGAGCAAGTCCACCTGAGATATAACCTCTGCATTATGCCTCATAGAGAACATTGATCTTTTAGTGCCTGGGAAGTCGCAGTAAGAATATTATTTTGGGATCTAGAGCTGATGAGCTAAATTCTTAGCTACTCCACTATGTGTGGAATGACAACAGTTATAACGACCATTCCACCTGGTTTTAGACTTTAGTGCTCTGTTCAAGACACACAATACTTTTAGGATAGTATTTTTTAGGCTTTTATAAGCTACTCAAAAGTTATATGCAAAATCAAACTAAGAGTCTTATTTTTGGGAGTCCCCCAAGACCACCCAGATATTCGATGATTCACGAAAAGGAATCAGAATATACTTGGATTCATGACTAAAATGTATTACAGTGACAGAATAAGCATACAGTTGGGTCAGTAAGAGAAGAAAGTATAAGTGGAGAAATCTATTTGCAGGTTTCCTATGCTGTTTCTCTCTCTCCTGTGAGAGGTCACACAGATCTCATCTTCCCTCCAGCAGTGAAAATACAGCAATACATATGTGATGTGTATGCCCAGATAGGCCCCTCTGAGACTCAGAGTTCAGGGTTTTTATTGGGGGCTGGTCACATAGGCTTTCTCTACCTAGCAACCAGTCAAATTCCAGACTCCCAGAAGGAAAGCAAATGTTTACCATAAATCACATTGTTTGTACAGACAGCCCAGGCCCAGTGAAATGACTGTATTAGTTAATAATGGAGAAAACATTCTGAAAGCTAAGTTCCCAGGTTCCCCAACAAGCAGGCTTTTCTAGAGATAACAGCCTCAGGCCTGCTGTGTTAACTGTTTTGCACAAGTCTAACAAATGATTTTTAAAATAAATAAGTCCAATGGGAAATTATGGTTCATTAAATAAATCTTTGTAATTCTTTGCTATTATCTCTCCGTTGGTGTCTAAACATAATTTGTCCCATGTATGAAAGATAACCACAAATTTGCATGGTCTTGGTAGCATATAATGTAATAGAGTAAGACTGTTTCATGTAATTGTAAGAAAAAAAATTAGGAGACTTATACTAAATAGAACACACAAAGATGCTTGTTATTGTGAGTTCTTCAGTATCTAGAAACAAGTACATAATCTCTGTCCAGAATTCCATTTTAAGCAATTGGAAACAGAAGACAGATCGGAGTTTATAAAGTTCATAGGTTGTTTTTCAGCATGTGTATTTCTGGGGCTGCCCCACAAGGCTCTTACGCACAATCACTACACGCCATCACTACACACCAAGTTTAGAAACAACTTCCGGTTTTTAGGATGCTGGCATTTATCATGCCCATTTGTCGGGTCAGAGTAAAACTCTCTCACTTAGATGGTACTCATTTTATGTCGAAAAACAAGGACTTAAGTGGGGTTCCTTCAGAAATGCGGCTCATTGGGGAAACATGTTTTTAAAGTATAGACTTGGAACCTTAGACATTTGAGTAGCATTTTAGCCTGGATTTTAGGATCTTGGATCCCATGTCTCTACCAACCAGACACTCTGTCTTGTGCCGAGAAATCTTGTCTTTTGGTGGTGAATCAAGAGCCAGACTGGTGAAGAAACAACAGGAGGGAAGTCACTAGGTGATTCACTGTTTTTGCTTGATTATTTCAGATCAAAGTCAAAAGTCGAAACTACTTGATAGCCAGAGGGTCCTTAAAGGAAGCACATACTCAGATCCATTTCCATGTCCTGATCTCGTGTGTGCTCTTGGGATCTAAGTCCATTCTCTCCTTTGCGCTTAGCCTTCCCTCTCTACTTTTGTCTTTGAACCCTAGCAGCAGTCAGGGAGAGAAGACACTCATTTCCTTCACCCTTGTCTCTGATCTCTTTGGTGACTATCTGGGTTTTTCTTTTACATGACATGCCGGCTTCCAGCCTGGAAAGGTTCTGTTTTCTGTTGACTTCTAGATGTAGCATTACAGAAAATTTGGAAAATAAAAAAGGACCCATAAATACACCAGCCTAACACAGTGACTGCGCTGTGCTCATTTCTTTAATATTTTCTTCCAGTCATTATTCTATATCCATATTCTCTTTTAATGGTTGCAATCATAATAGTACGTGTATGTGTATTTGTCTGTTTTTTCTCCAACTCTTTTATTTTTAAAACCTTCAAACTTACCGAAAAGGTGAAAGAATAGTACAGTGAACACTTGTATACCTTTCACAGAGACTCATCCATGGTTGCTATTTTACAACATTCGCTTCTCTCTGCGTATAAACTTACTTCTGAACCACTTATATTAAGTTGCAAAACATTATTGCGCTTCATCCCTAAACACTTATCACACATTTCCTAAAATTAAAGACATTTTTTCACATAACTGCAATATCATTATCCCACTTAAGAAAATTAACAGTCAGTGGTATCGCTTAATATCTAGTCCATATTTAAATTGCTCCATTTAGCCCCAAATGTCTTTTTAGCTTTTTGAAAAATAAAAAATGTAATCAGTGGTTCATTCAAAGTTCATTTGGTTATTGTAGGGGT